TACTTTGACTACGAGGATGGCTGGACTAAGTCATACAACAAAATCAACTTCACACGGTCAATGATGTATGCCGTAATGAATCATGGTATCAGACACAGAAACGTCCACTGCAAAAGATTGGCTTAGCAACAAGGTGAAAGAGGCACATATTTCGACCAAATTTACATACTGAAATTATCAAACAGTGCCAAGTGATTTTGCATTTTTTGGCAGTGGAAGGGACCTGAGAACTCAGCAGTCTGACAGCATTTGGGCTGAAACACTGTAATTGGTATATACATGACTTATTTCCTTCACTCATCAAGAATATGAATCCAGTATCACTTAGACATCTCCTTAATCCAGTCTCGGCTCTTGAGCCAAGTGTTCAAACTGAACAGACGTTGTACTTGGCATCAATATTAATTAAGACAATATGGAATACTGCACTAGCAGTTAAGGCTCAGCTATCCAGAGTTCTTTTGCGTCTTTATTAAATGTTAATCCTCCCATTAGAAATAAGAAAGAGGAAGAAGATCTCAGAGCAGCTCCATCACCTTGGTTACCTGGAGCCAGTCCTCAAAGCAGAGATATTTTAATGAAACCCACCGAAGTGGAGGCAGTGACATTGAAATGGATTAGCAACTTATTAATAGAACCAAACATGTACAACAGCAACTTTCAGACACAGGAATCCATGCAGGGAAGATCTGAAGAAACTGACAACAGTGTGAAGATAGAAACAGTGGTCCTGGTAGCAATAGGAGACAGGGTGATGGATCTGGCAATGAGATGAATTCTAACCATGCAAACCAGTCAGCTGGGAGCCCTGGCAGTGAGGTACAAACAGAAGACACTGCAGATATTGAGATCTTAAAGAAGAAATTGAAGATGATGATCATGATCATAATCCTAAAAGCAGTTGTGATACAGATATTCATAACAAAATTAGAAAGTCAAGCAAACATTTGCTTAGGGAATCCCATGGTCCATCAGAAAGAAGTGGGGCAAGCAATAGAATAGGAAAGGACCTGGTTTTTAACACTGAGTCAATACTATCACTAGATAATCAAATACAAATGCTAAATGCCTGTTCACACTCTGAAGACCCAGAACATGATATTTCAGGGGAAATGATTGCTGCTTATACCGTACAAATAACTCAGGAATCTTCTATTTTATGCACTGGGGACTTCATGGGAGACTATTGTGAACAGATTTAATTGTCAACAGTTTACTGGTCCACAGCATCACCACCTCCAACACCACGGGCAAATATGATCATATGCTAAGCGGAAATAATGCCAGTTACAGAAGTTCCCAAGTCAGTGCAAAATTAGAAAAAAAATATGGCTGATTTTGATGGTGAAGAATCTGGGTGTAAAGAGGAACTAGTTCAGATTAATTTACATGCAGAACTAACATTTCATCTCCAAAAACATTTTCCCAATTTAGTATCTATTTACCATGAACATCTTAGTCAAGGGCCTGCAGTTCATAAACATCAATTCAACAGTAATGCTGTGACAGACATTAATTTGGATAACATTTGCAAGAAAGGAAACACTCCGTTGTGGGATACAGTCCAAGATGATGATACAATTAATCTTTTTGAAGGCTTAATAAATGAAGCAGAAAAACTTCTCTGTTCCTCAGTATGCTGGTTTATGGATAGACAGATTGGAATGAGATTCACTGACAGTTCCCTTAAAAATTTAGGAAACAAGTAAATAGGAATTCTTTAAAATGTTATGCATTAGTCAAAGGTCATTTTGTGTATTCTTATCAACTAGGTGTGGTAGATTTCGTAGCATTTAATATACTATTACCAACCTATTTAGTAATTGTGGTTTTCATATTAGGTTTAGGCTTTTCACTCATAAGGTTCATATTTTATCACTCACTCTTGCTTTTTCAGCACTTTCTGGCACTATTGATTATAGATCCCCTCCAACAGAAACAAAGGAATAATAATTTTTATTCTTTTCCCCTTTTTTATTGAATTTGTTAGGGTGACACTAGTTAACAAAATTATACAAGTTTCAGGTGCACAATTCTACAACACATCATCTGTGTACACTGTATTATGTGTTCACCACCCTAAGTCAAATTTTCATTTATCAGCATTTATCCTCCTATACCCTCCTCCTTCATCCCTCCCCCTGGCAATCACCATACTGTTGTCCATGTCCATGAGTCTTTTTCTCTTGTTTTTTTCTTAATCCCTCTACTCCCCTGATCCAGCCCATCCACTCCACATCTGTAAGCCTGCTCTCTATTATGAGTCTGTCTATATTTTGCTTGTTAGTTCATTTTGCTCATCTGGGTGGATATTTTGTGTCTAAGGCTTCTGTAGTGCATAAAGAATTAGGTTTGTGTTTTGTTGTCTTGTTTTTTAAGTGCAAATTCTACTGTATATTTATATAGTATTTATGGGGGCTCAAATGATTACCACAAATTTCTTGATTTTCGGTTTTGTTCCACTGGTACAATTTCAGGTTTCCCTTGTCTCATACTGTTTTGATAATGTTGTTCCATTCTCTGGTGTAGTGAATTCAGTTATTAACTGAAGATATTTTATATCATGTATTATATATAATGTTATATTTTATTAATGTTTTCAGCTTACCTCTGTCCAGGCCTGATATGCCTCATTTTACTCAATATTTAAGTTCTTTAAAATATATATTTTTTACTTAATTGAATTAGAAAAAGTATGTGCAATATTTTTTTCCACTTTTGGTCTTTAAAGGGCTATAATTTGAACAATTACAGTAGGAAAACTGCTTGTTCGTGAAAGTGGAGGAAACCACTAATAGACCTCTGTTAGTGGATCAGTTACCTCATGTGGCATATGTTCTTTAAAAAGAAATCTTTGAAAGGCTGAATATTTCATTATTTTTTTAAAATAAATTTTATTGATATTTTACAGAGAGGAAGGGAGAGAGATAGAGTGTTAGAAACATCGATGAGAGAGAAACATCGATCAGCTGCCTCCTGCACATCTCCTCCTGGGGATGTGCCTGCAACCCAGGTACATGCCCTTTACCGGAATTGAACCAGAGACCTTTCAGTCCATAGGCCAACGCTCTATCCACTGAGCCAAACCGGTTTCGGCGAATATTTCATTATTTACATAGGTATTATAACAGTTAATTTTCACATGTTAACTGTCTTTTAAAAGTCTTTGTGAAACAAATGGACATTTTAAGTGGCTGTAATAATTTATATTCCCCATATGTGCATCTGTATACCCCATGACCCACCCAGATGGTCACTTAAAGCCACATTCAAGAATGTTCATAACAGCATTATTCAAAATAACTAAGTATTTTAGTATAGCTATCCAATGCCAAAAGAAGAGTTGAAAGAAAAATTAAATTGTAGACTGTTTGTTGAATGAAATAATATATAGCAATAGCAATGAATGAACTACTACTGCACGGACTAGTATACATGACCTTCGGTGTGGATGAATCTCACAAACGCAATGTTGAGTGAAAGAAGCCAGATATAAGAGAGTATATCTCTATTATTCCATTTATATAAAGTTTAAAAACAGTTAAACTATTGTATTTATGTCAGTATTATGGTTATTTTGGGGTTGTTAATGACTGGAAAGAGGCACAATGAAGGGTTCTGGTACTCTGGGAATAATTTACTTCTTGATGTGGGTGCTGGTTGCACAGGTATGTACATCACTGAATATTTTGAATTCTCACTTAGATTTATAAATGATTTTGTTATGCTTAAATAAAAAGAAAAAGCTAACCCAGCCTGCATGGTTCAGTGGTTGAGCATCGACTTAGGAACCAGGAGGCCACAGTTCGATTCCAAGTCAGGGCACATGCCCAGGTTGCAAACTCAATCCTCAGTGTGGGGGCATGCAGGAGGCAGCCAATCAATGATTCTCTCTCAGTATTAATGTTTCTCTCTCTCTCTCCCTCTCCCTTCCTCTTTGAAATCAATAAAAATATATTTTTAAAGAAAGGTCTACATGAAAGATGAAAAAAATGAAGTATAAAACCAATCCAAACTTAAGATTACCATATACATTTTTAAAGAGTCACAGATATATTTTTGTCATATATTAATATTATCAACCCAGAATATCAAATTTCTTTTAAAAACCTTTGATTCACATGAATGAATCTTGCAAACACTATGCCAAGTGAAAGAAACCAGTCATAAGAGACCACATACTGCATGATTCCATTTATGTGAAATGTCCAAAATAGGCAAATCTACAGAGACTGAGAGCAGATTAGTGGTTGCCTGATTGGGGGGTGGGGAGGGGGGCGGGTGCGCATGAGGGTGCGTGGGGGAAAGGGGAAAGAGGGAAATTAGGGAATAATAGTTAAAGGTTTTGAATTGTTTTTAAAGTTATGGTGATGGTTGCACAACTTTGTGACTATACTAAAAAGCACTGAATTATACATTTTAAATGGGTGAATTGTATGGTATGTGACTTATATCTCAATAAAAGTTACCAAAGGGGGGAAAAAGCTTTCATTCTGAAACCACGTGTCATCTCCAAATAATGGCATTAGGTACACATTTTATTTCATGAAACTATAACTTTTTTCTTGTTCTAATGACGCATGGTAAGAAAAAAGCAATAAAGACTAGTCAGGTTTTCTAAGACATGTAATAATGAGAGCAATGTGGCCAACAGAAATCAAATATGCACAAATACCAAGTAATTGTTCATTTCCACGGTAGCAGATAATAGTTGATAAATTAAATGTCCAAGTTTTAATATTTCGCTTAACCTGTGGGTTCAAATCATGTGCCCATAAGATTTCTTTATTAGATACTTAATAAAATAGTAAAATGTATTGCTTTAATTTTAGTGTTTTTCTCTCCCTTGTTGCCCCTTTCCTGAAAATTTTGTATTTAATTTTAATTAATTTAAGGTAAATTTTAAGTAGCACATGTAGCTAGTGGCTACCATATTAGACAGTGCAGATTAATATGAACACAATTAAATATCAGTCTAAAGACAACTCTATGCTTATAGTACTAAGAATAATTCACAAAGGGTACTGAAGCTAAGTTATATGTTTAGCAAACGGATAACAGACAAAAATCAACTTTACAAACTCACCTGGCCATCTTCCATTTTAGCTTTTGGATAGTTGAGGATTAGTTTTGTAGCTTGTTCCCATTTTGCGTGTGTATCTTCCCAAGCCTAAAATGAAGGCAATTACCACTTAAAAGCAACTTTAAACTTAGAGCTAAAAATCAATCAGTAATAGGTCTCAAACTTGGTGTATATCATAAACACAATATCCTACTATAGTAACATGCACAAATTTTAGATTTGCTTCAAATGCTCTTCCCGGTCACATACGCATAACATGAGGCTTTTAAAATTGAGGGTGGGGGCCTAGGAGGGACGCATACCTCAGTGTTTCCTGCAGTGGGATGCTCAATGCGCCTTAGTAGTGCCATCACTCTTTTCTGAAGTGCTGTTCTTCCTAAACAAAGACCACAGGAAATCAACCTATTGCACTCAGAGCCTTGCTTGCCAATGGAGAACCTGGCAAGCCCAACCCAAAAGACAGAGTAGGAGGAGTGGAATGAATGCTTCAAATGATAAAGCTGAACATTTCATTTACCTCCCTCACAGGAAAGGTATTTCACTTGGACTCCACAAATGTCCACAGCATAAAATAGCTACTCCTACCTATATTTACTCAAAACATGTGCCAATGTGTTTTAAACTTCATTTACAGGGTGGGGCAAAAGTAGGTTTATACTTGTTTGTATGGAAAATAATACAATTAAAAATAATATGCCCAGCCGGCATGGCTCAATGGTTAAGCATCAACCTATGAAACAGGAGGTCACGGTTTGATTCCTGGTCAGGGCGCATGCCCAGGTTGCAGACTCGATCCCCAGTGTGGGGCGTGTAGGATGCAGCCGATCAATGATGTTTCTTATCATTGATATTTCTCTTTATTCCTCTCCCTTCCTCTCTAAAATCAACAAAAATATATTTTAAAGTAATAATAATAAAAAATAAACTCTTTCATGTACTAACAACTATAAATCTACTTTTGCTCCACTATGTATACAGGCCAAGTACATCATATAATCTATAACTACCAGCAATTTATACTGCCAATTTTTAAACAAATGTAGATTTTATTGAAAATTCAGTGAGATGTTAATAATTTCAAGTGCTATTTATTTTCACCTTACCTGTGTAGAGAAGAATTTCAGGTAAGCTTTCTGAATTAGCCCTGTAAACTTGCTAAGTAGTCACCTTAAATACATCCTTAAATTTCTAGCACAAATATCATGTGACTCAAGGCAGACTGAGTGAAAAAAAACATTATCCATATTTACCTGTTGACATCATATTGCTAACAGAAGCAAATTCCATGAATGTGTTATAGTTGGGCAAGAAGTTGTGCACCGATACTTCATCCACCCCACACCGGATATCCGCTTCCTCACAGAGGTGGCGGAAACAGGACATGGCAACTAGAACAGCTTCAGTGTCAGGGCTCCACAGAAACATGTACAGGGCCACTTCCAGTTTGGTTTGGGCTTGTCGGCATATCGGTGGGGTTCCACTGCACCCTGCTGCACTATCCTGGGAGTCAGGGGTGGGAGGTATATATTTTCAATGTAGGTAATTTTATTTACAAAACCCAACAATGCAGCAAACTGTTTAACACATATACATATATACATATACACAATAACCCATAAGAGCTTTCCCCTTTAGTCATTATAGAAATTTTCAAACCCCAAATATCTTGTTTGAATAAGAAATGAGATTATTTGGACCAACATAATGCTACTATCTGTCCAATTTCAAATTGAGTAAGTATTAGCCTATTTTAAATTCCAGAAATGTGGATTAAGTCTAACATGGACACACGTAAAACAGCCACAACATAAACCTACATAAAAATATAAGCCACTTCCCAGTCAATTATAAAACAAAGGAAGAGGAAATCATGGTAAAGTCTACCCACTGGAGGGAAGAAATAAAATAAGCACATTCAGTACTGGCTGAACTGAGGGCACAAAAAAGAACTAAGTATCACTTTAGAAGACATACTTGATTCTTGATTACACATTCCCAAAGCATGAAATCCTCATTTAGGAAACAAATGTAAATTTTGCAGGCAAAGTAGACAATTGTAAATGCCAAACCATTTAGTTCTTATATTGAAAATTAGAGATTAAAAAAGCGTTCGTCTGAAAAAGAAACTCATGTAATGATTTTATTTTATTTTTTGCTTATACTATGATTTACTTTTAAAAGTAATTACACACACAAACAAAAATCACAGAAACATCTATATATATAAAAGGCTAATATGCTAAGTGTCTGTCTGACCAGTAGCTATGATGCACACTGACCACCAGGAGGCAGATGCTCTTGTCAGCGGTGGTTCTCAAGTGATGCACCCGGAAACCAGAGAGGCCCGATTCCTCACAGGGCCGTGCAATTCCACCTTCAGCTGTGGGTTATGTTGTTGCTGGGGCACTGTCAGCCCCGAATCTGGTTTACTGCTCACTTACATTTGTGTTCCACACCCTGTACAACAGCAACTTTACAGAGTTCCCTCTCCCATTCCCTCTCCCTCCGGGAGCCCTCAGGGAATGTCGGAGAGCCAGTTTTGGCCCCTCCAGGAGCCCTCAGGGAATGTCGGAGAGTCAGTGTTGGCCCCATCCCTGCAGGCCAGACTGAGGGACCCCATCTGCCAGAGGAGGGACCCCACTCACTCTGCAGACGCCCTTAAAGCCACGGCGCCATCCCAGGTGCGGCCAGCAGGGAGGGACCTCCGCAGGTTGGCTCCAGGGTGTGTCTGGCCCATCTCGCCCAGTCCCGCCCCACTAGCCACCTTCTAATTAATTTCCTTTCAATGTGCACGAATCTGTGCACTGGGTCACTAGTTTATCTATACTGAAGCAAAATGCTTTTTCTCCCAGTAAATTTGTACTTTTTAAAGTTGGTACAACTTTTAAACTTCTGGGATTTAAATGGTCTTTCTTATGGAGTAGTTTAAAATAATTAAACCTGTCAGTTATAGCTTATAAGTGTCAAATACTTGATTAAATACTGTTTTAAACATGATCCCATTTAATCTTTAAACTATTCTGGGGTAGGAATTATTATTATCCCTATTCTAAAACTGAGGAATTGAGCCACAGAGGTTAGGAACTTTCGTCCACCAAGAGCTGTGATAGCACTAGAATCTAAGCAGTTCTCTACCATGCTATATTATCTCACTGAAATTTATCAAAGTTCATTTAGAAGAAAATACAGAGCACAGATGATGACATGGAAAACTACAAAAGAAGCTGCTTACCATCGATGAGTTTCCTTTTCCCTTCCGGAGAGAGGCTCCAGGAGTACAAGTACGGAGTAACTCTTCATGATCCATGGACATCTGACTGGTATTTCCACTTGCAGGAA